AGAGAGAGAGAGAGAGAGAGAGAGAGAGAGAGAGAGAGAGAGAGAGAGAGAGAGAGATTCTGCCAGGCTGTTAATTATATGATGCTGACATGTGCTGGTCAGTTTTGTGTTTGGCCTTTGCAAACCAGGAAATGCTCCAAGATGCACACCGACTGCGCCCGGCATTATTGCTCACATGATGCGCAACTTCCACGAACTCCCCCCACGAACAGCAACAGCCAAGCAGATTATGCTAATCATACATTACGACACCTGCGTAATATCAGTGGCACTCTTATTGTTGAAGACGACCTCCGACAACTTCCCCGGGCCAATCGTCAAGCATTATTGAACGACACACATGCACCAAGCTGAGACTGACACACATATGCACTTGCACACACAGACAAAGTCATGCATACAAGATCGGTTGATCACAAACATATTCATCAAGGACAGCAAGCAAACTCAGAGTCGGAATCTTTAGGACAGCCATCTCTTGGAAACGAACACAGATCTCAGACTGAAGCTTTGTCGGTCGTAGCACACAACAGAAATTAAAAAACATGTTGAAAAGGTAGCAGATGCCCAAACACAAAACTCACAGTAAAAACAAAAAAAAAGTTTCGTGGTATGCCCTCCTGTTTTCTTGCAAACGGGTTTCGTCTGATGATGGGACTGTTCCTTATGCTTTTTCTTTTCGTGTTTTGAGGGCGAAGCTGCAACAGGTAACCTTGTAAATTTTGAAGTATATTCAATAGATGCCAACCATGGAGTATTTCCAAAGGTTTGGGATTCTAATTCCTTTCATTCAAATCATTGTGATCTGCTGAATTGTTGTGCAGAGTTTGAAGCAGAGTGGAATGGGTCATGGTGGGATGTGGATGTCCTAGATCGGATGGGTGAAAAAGTGCTCATCCACTATCATGAGTACAGCGATGCATGCGACGAATTTGTGGACATATCACGGCTTCGAATGCGTTCAAGGATGCTTGAGAGTAATCACTGTCGACAAGTTAAACGTGGGAAGACTGTTCTTGTTTTCGCGGAACATCCGGAGACACGCCACTCATTGGCTGGGCCTGTATGTAATCCTTCACGAGAACCATAACCCGGCAACTCATCCCCTTTAGTGTATGTTTACGCCAAATTCATAAACAAACAAACCAAGGAAAAATTGGAAATTGATAATCTTTCATGCTTTGATTCGCACATTTTTGCTCCATGTGCGCACGGGTCAATGATATTATCCTACTGCATATCCTCTGGTGTCTGAAAATCTGGTGAACATTTTTGTGCTGTTTGTCTGGTCACATCCCTTCACCAAGTAAAGCCGGCAAGTGGGATAGTTCGACATGGAATGCTGTTCAAGCTTGAGAGGAGGGAGAGGGAAAACCCTCCGCATTCCCTATCTAGAGTGTAGTACATGTTGAAAGGTTATGATTGTGATTTTCCGTGATCCAGATATTTTGANAGGAGGGAGAGGGAAAACCCTCCGCATTCCCTATCTAGAGTGTAGTACATGTTGAAAGGTTATGATTGTGATTTTCCGTGATCCAGATATTTTGATTGGATCGCTTCACTGTGTCTTGCTGTTCCAAAGAACCGATGGCCCCTTTGCATCTGGTAAGTTCCCAAGTATCCCAACCGCGAGCTTCAGGACAGCTAGAGTTCTGAGGTATGCGACCAGCAAGGCCCCTTTGATCAATTTTTTATTTTTTATTTTTTTTTGTTGGTTTATTTGGTCTCCACTCTATSGACTGGTGACAAGTCTGGCGTAAAAGGTATAGAACGTTTGTTATAATGACCCTGAAAAAATCCTGAAAATTTAGGACTCTGTTAACCTCTTCTCGAGGACGGCTTTGCTATGTGTGCACTGTATGTTTTGTGTTAACTATATGTGCATTGTATGCTTTGTGTAACACAAGAATCTTGCTTTGCTCTATATCCTTCAGGATATTCATGCGGAGTTCATTCATTGTCACTGAAGGGCTGTCATTACTACGGAGTCCTTCTAGTTCCTGCCCAGGCACCTTTTCCCTCCTTTGTCATGTTTACTACGCAAAGTAACTCTATTGCCTTTGGACCTGCATTGCGGCTTGTCTGTTACGATCAACATGCATATGCTGGACCCTCTTGTGGTTCTGTTTTGTCTGTTCCGATCAACATGAACATCCAGTACCCTCTTGTGGTTCTATTTTGTGTCTGTGACAGTCTTAAGGTTCACATGGTAAATCTTTTAGCTCTGGTCTTTCAGCTGTAGCCTGTAAGCAGAGTCTCATTTTGCTTAGTGTCTGGAAGGGTCTTTTAGTATTGATTTTTTGCAGCTATGTCATATGATGTTCTGATGATTTCTAGTTGGACGTTCTCATAGTTCTGATGAGTTTGTAGTTTCTACAACTTTAATTTACCTTGGTGTTATTTAGTCATCCCTACACTATTGAAATCGCTAAGGGAACCAATCTCTGATCCAGGCTGTCGTCGGTCCTAGCGGCCCACGGCCTGGATCATCGGAACATGTTATAAATCTGAAATCCCGGCCGTCGGGTCCTACCGGATCGACGGGCCGGATTGGCATGCGGTCTTTTAAGATCGTAAAATCAAGTGTCAATCCAGGTCGCCGGGCCCGCCGGCCCAGATCATTTGCCTGTTGGAGGGGGCCGCGGTACCTACTGGGACAGGCTCTTGGTGTGCTACCTACCAGTAGTGTTTTGTGTTATGTTCGCCCTGCTGTTGTCGTACGTGCATTTGGACGCCCATTTGTCCGTTTCTTCGTTGTTTGTCGTTCTAAGTTTCACCCATTGTGCAGCACGCTGTCGTACGCGAAGTTGTACTCCGCCATGGGCGGTGTTGCTTATCTCCCCCCCCCCCCCCCCCCCCCCCCCCCCC